GGTCGATCGGATCTGCGTGCGAGAGAGGTATATAAGCTCCGAGGGCACGCGTGTGTGTGTGTATAGGGACCGGCGAGCGCCGGCACGTATATGGCGCAGACAAAATGCAAATAATCGGCGGGGCTCTCGCGCTGGGGCTAATCTGTCTGGCGCATCCGTGACGTCACCCCGTGTGTGTATGTACCGGGGATGCAAAAAAGGAGGAGGAGTTTGGAATCTCGCCCCGCGCAACCGATACAACCGACCTGATAGCTCGGGCCGATCTTTCTCTGCTCATCTCGCGTATCCGTATTGTTAACCGCATTGTTTCTGATGTCCCTGCGCTAAAATTCTTTGGCTTTTTTTTTTTTCTTCTTCACATTGTTTTTGTGAAGTTTCTCCGGCCGGCTCGTCGCGGTCGTTTATCATCGCGTCGCACGCGCTTGATTAATAGACGCGAGCTTTTCAATCGGAAATAGATAAGCCCCGACGAATATACGCGCTCCTCCGCGGAGGAGTGATGGATTTCTCGATCTGCCGATAAAATTGTCTGCGGGCCAATTATATTTCATGTGGCCCTTTTTTTTTGTTTTTTGCACAGAAGAGCCGGATGGGAAGGAAAAAAAAAGAGTCGCTCTTCGTGGACGAGATCGAAAGTGTTTGGCGATGCGTTTGCGAAACGCGAACCTGGTTCCGGAGCTGCGATGAGCATTGGTGTATAACACGTCGGGGCAGCGGTGAAAGCACACGTGTGACGCCTCTGCACTTATAACGTACAGTCTTTGCGGGCTGTTCGCGCGTGCAGTACGCGCTCGTATGTATACGTAATGTTACATTGTGGCATGGAAATGTCGTGTCCCGCCGGCGGTGACTGTGTATAGGTGTTATTATGCAAATGAATGTGGGTCGCCCTCGCGTTCGTGGGCTCGTGGAACTTACCCGGAGGTTGGCCCGGAGATGCGCTCCGGACGAATCGGGTTTAACTGGTATATTGTTTTTTAGAGTTTTTATAAATTATTTGCTTGGGCTAGGAATTTTAACTTTTACTTGTTGCGGGTGTGTTGAGAATACATATACTCATATTTATATGGAATCATTTGTACATTTTTATATAATCGTTTTCCGAAATTTTCAAAATATTTCATTTTTTTCGTTTTTTTTTTTTTTTTTTTATATAATAATACTAATAATACAAATGTTTTGTTTAAACCGTGCAATACTAAACATTTGTTTATGGTCATAATCCCACGTTTAAAATGTGATTTGTTTTGCCGAAAGTAAGGAAAGTGTTGACGCACCAGTAGTATTGAGGTAAACCTCAAAGTTGACTACATTTACTTTACATAAATTCATACATATATTATGTCCAGCATATGGATTAGTTGGTAGAGAGAGAAAATCAACCCTCTGACATCCATGTCCAGGTCTCTGAGTTCGAGTCTGGGTTTGTGATGGAACGTATACGCTCGATAGAGGCAGTGACGGTCTTTCAAGTTATGCACTACTTTGATAACCAATATACATAATGACTGAGAAACAATTAATTGTCGTAGTACCCTCGGAGACACTTATCAGTAAAATTTACTTTTTTGTTTCATTCAACCAATATTCATTTTTATGGTATAATAATTTAACGCTTAATCGAAATAAAAATAAAAAACAACTTTTCACTTGTAAGGTACAGTATTCTTAATTTAATTACCTCTAATAACTGTTGTTAAAACACCAGATAATTATCATTGATTTTATTTTGCATTTGTACGACATGACTTTGTGGTCATTATCACGGCACGTATCGTTTGTTAATCACACGTTTGTTAATATCGCAATTTGGTAGAAATAAATTATCTGGTAAATAAAATCCAACACACGTTATGTATTGAAATTTAAATGAAAAAAAAATTTCCGATAAAGAAGGAAAAATTTAAAAAAAACATGAAAATATATCTTGGCATTAATGAAAAATGGAAAATCAAAGGATCATCGTGCAATTAGAGTTAGTTCGAGACACATAGTTATGCATCCACACGCGCGGCTACGAGTCCCATTCCGTTCCGAGAAAACTAGCGAGTCGCTGTTGCTGCGGGGCATCCTCTCTTTCTCCTGCAAAACCAACAATCTTTGCCCCCCTCTCTCTCTCTCTTTCCTGCCTCGGCTACGAAAAAAAAAAAAAAAAAAAGAAAAAAAGAAAAAAAGGATCAGCACTCCTCTCGCGCATCCATGATACACACACGCGCAGGTGTTTTGCACACACCAGTAGGTAAGTATATTACACGCATAGCGCTCGGGGTTCCCTTTCTCGGCTAATTGCGTCGTAGTCGTCCTCAGCCCTTTTTTTCTTCTCCTTTCTTTCCTCCTTCTTCTCCTCCTTCGAGATACACTTACGCCTCCTTTGCCCCTCTCGACCGGATTTTTCGTCGGAAGCTCGCGTCCTTAAAAATCTCCCACGGCGATTTTCTCGGAATCCGAAATTGTCCCGCGAAAGAGAGCGCGCGGAGAAAAAGCCGCCACCTAATGAGTGAAAAGGGGGCATCACCATCCATTCTCGCGACCGAGGTGTTTGAGTGTAATTGCTGCCACCGATATACCGTGTAGGTACCCCGTATATGTGTATACCCACCCATCTGCCGTTCTTGCGCCGCTCTAATGATCCGCTCGAAGAATGCTCGAGTCGCATGTCGTGGAAATCGGTGCCACCGAAGGGGCAGGACGTTATTTGCCATCTGCGGTGCGTCACTCATCGACCGGCTCGTTTTTACCGATCCTCGGGGACGATATATCCCTTCTCTCTCCTCAAAGGACGAATATATTCGCTATGCCTCGCGAAATCGCTCTATTGCGGCTTCATTGAAAACATGCACAAAAGCCGAGAGCGTTGCCGAATTATTGATGTTTCCTGCCGAGGGCCCCATATCGGTACGGAACACGCGCACCCTACATCCAATACGCGTACGTGTGTGAATGCACCCACGCGGTATCGAGCCAACGTGAGAAAGCACCGCGGGGCCCTAACTCTGTAATTTTTGACTCTGCACCGAGAGCAGATCGCACAAAGTGGTACACTTTAGGATCGCGTGGGAGATACTTATTCCTTCTGCTGAATCACCGATGCTAATAAGCCACGAGTTTTTCTCGTCACATCAGTTGCACAGGATCTGGATGAAAAACCAAAATGTCACTCGCCACGAGGGAGCAAAAAATATACATTCCAACTAATGATGCCACGCGCCCGCGTCAAAGTAGCGATTCATCCGCAGCCTCGAGATCGGCAGTATACGTTTCAATTACCCAACTAAGTGTCTCGATTGTGCACATGGTATGAAATTTTCGTGGAGATGCACGAGCAAAGTTATCGAGGCTCCTCGGCGGCAGATAAGAAACGAAGTAGCGCCGCCGGTGTGAATTTATTTGGCCAAACAACACTCACAATGGCTAATCCGTTGCGTGGCGCAATAAAGTCCCGCACGCGAGCGGTGCTCATATATAAGTATATACACACAGAGAGAGAGAGACAATTTGAATTGCGCAATAAATCCTCCGATATTCTTCGATTCGCAATCTATTTCCTTCTTCTTCGCGGGGGTGGCGCGGGCTGCCGCTTAAATTGGCGCGTAGGTGCATTGTACATACACTCCGATGCACGCGTATATATATACGTTGTACATAATATTACGTGCAGTGCGAGGTGCGCCCGAGCGTGAAAGTCGGAAGAGCTTCCCCCGCTCTTCTGGTCCTTGTTTCGTCTTTTATTCACGTTTTACGGCCGTCTTCTTTCGCTTCGACTTTTTCCATCCACCCCCCACCGCCCTCGCGTCTTAATTTTTTTTTTTTATTTTTTATCCTCCTGCGCGAGTGTAATCCGAGCGAGGCTCTTACGCGCGGACGAGCGCGGTTATGGGTCGAGGATTTAGGGTCTCCGTTAACGCCTGCCTCGTGAAAACTTCGATATTGGGTGTTTTACAGTGCGTTACCCCGGATTTATGGTTATTAAAGGGCCCGAATTTATCGGTGCCCGGCGTGTTTTCGTTGCGTTGGCTCACTTATATACTTACATGCGGAAGTGTTTTTTTTTTTTTTTTTTTTTATACTTATAAAACGCTCGTACATTGGTGACTTTGTGTGACAAATTGACGCGCTAATCATTACTCTACGAGGGAATCGTNTACATCAGGTTAACTTGATTAGATTTTTTTTTTTTTTTTTTAAATTTACATTAAGTATCAAAGTGAATCGTGTGCAGTTAGAGATATCATAGCGGGCGATAAAAGGCCATGCGGAAACTAATACATTTGTTTGATAATTTTTTTTTTTTTTTTTTTTTTTTTTTTTTGGAATATTAAAAAAAATCCATACGCGGGCTTTGGGACTAGTTTTGTTGTATTTTTTTAGTCCTGCACGTGATGAATCATAAAAATACCTCTGCTATACCTAAAATGGTCCGATTCATAGAAAGTAGTCTCTATAATTTCTTAAATGGTCAAAAACAAAAAACCTTAATCAGTTTGAAACGCCTACGTTATCTACGTTATTTTCCATAATAATACGTATACGCGTACGAAACCGTATTTGGTTTTAAATTGTAGCATCAATGAGTGTAGGTCTTTCGCAACGAAAAGGTATTCGCTGATCTACGAGATAAAGTGTAAGTCGTTTGACGCCGCTCGTATATTTTATCGTGCCTTCGGAGTAAAACATAAAGATACGGGGACTAGGTATCGACGTGGTATACGTACCTACTTCTAATAAACGCGTAATGGAAAGTCACGCGGTATTCCATTACAGCACGTAAATGCCCCCCTAATGATAACTTAATACGCCCAATAAATTCATATTTAATACGTATTTATGTGCCATACTGCGTACGACCAACGATAAACAATATAATCGGTATACATTCAACATACATGTGAACTGGGTATTGCTTGCACAGTGGTACAAAAGCGTGAGTTACACGATCGGCAGCTATTTTCGAGTACAATCCGTTCATTCATGCGAACCATGTGGTACCATAAAATGAAGTAATGGTCCTGGCCGAGGAAAATTGTTTATCCACAGCCAGTAAATGTGCAACTACTTATCGAAAAATCGTATATCTACATCGACTGCCGGGAATGCGAAGCTTTCACTTTTGCAAATTGAAAATTACGATGAGAAGAAAATCTACTCTCTAAATGTGAATCGGTGAAACTTTGGGTGCTGTTTACACAAACCACCGTTATTTTTGTTTTCAAATTTCCTTCTTCAAATTACCAACTTTGACATCGTACAAAAATCTCGAGTCTTCACTGATTAACTTTTCAAGAGTGTAACAAAAAATACTTTTCCAATTGAAGTACATTTATAAGAAAAGTAGTGAAAAAACAGCCCGACTAACGAGAGTACCGTTGGTTTCCGTTGCAGGTTCGGTGGCACAAACGGCTACTCTGACGAGCCTCGCGTTCCTCCTGAGTTCCAGCCTAGGCCCGATTAGCCCCGTCGTGTCCGGGGCACCGTCCTACGGCATGCGCACCACCTTTAACGCGGAGGCGTTCATGGAGCCGTGGTTGCAGCCCTGCGGCACACCAATGGCCGCTGCCCTGAGGAAACTACCCCAGCGGCACAGCGTCCACAGGACCCTCAAGCGGGTCAAGACGCAGCTCCGCGTCGCCCAGAACCACTTTCGCAAGGATCTCAAGGACATACGCGACATCTACTCCAAGGTACGTCTTTTTTTTTTTTTTTTTTTTTCTTTTTAGATAGGGCATTTGAAAAATAGCGTGCACGTGTGCAAAGCTTCGTTACATATAAATACTTACCGGGACAAGGAGAGCCAGAGAAAGGATGAGGCACGCGCGGGTCTCGCGTTTCGCCTCTATAGTCTTATCCGCCTACACGTTGTACGCGCTGATGGTGGCACCGGCCAAGACGAAACAATCGTATCAACTGTCACGCGCCTCTTGCCCCCTTTCTCACCCAACGTCGATGCACAACGCGACAACGTATACAATTCATACCACCTCTCGAGCGCTTCTTGTTTGCGCGAGTGGGTCAATATTTGCTCGCAATTACAACCATATATATATATATATATACACACTCGTGTCTCTCATCCCCTGNTACCTACACAAACGCGTGTATATATATATATATACACGCGTTTGCGCATCTTGTGGAGAAAGAAAGACAAGCAGCACTCGAGAGCGATTCCGGTCGACGTCGCGAGGTACATCGCTAATCGCGAAGGGCCGTTGATTTTGATGAATCGCACGAAGCAGTGGTGAGGAGGGTGTAGGAGCGCACGGGGTTTTTTTAATGTGTGGGAGCGAGCCGCGTGTGTTTACAAAAGGATTCGGTTGCCCCGCGTGGGTTGATTCATCCTGCACTCGAGATCCGCGGGAAAGGAGCTTCAGGGTGTGCGCGGGTCGGATTTTTCGATGACGCGACTAGATGTAAATCATAACGGGGGAAAGTAAAATCGGCAATCTTTGTTTATGGATGTGTAACGTGTCGAGTTGGTTGTCGCAGGTGTACAAAGTGCTGAAGGAGCAGTACCGGATGAGTTGGCTGCCGGATAGGCAGCTCGAGTGGTACCACAGCGAGATCTGGTGCTTAGAGAAGGGCAAAAAGGCGGAGCGCGCCCTGCCACGGCTTCACGACTCCCTGCAGAGGTTCGCCATCACTTTTCACCATCTGCGGACGTTCAGGCTCAAGTCCAACATCAACGCCGACATGACCATGATCAGGCGGAACAAGATCATCGACGGCATGAATAGCGAGATACTCAGGGTGAGCACATAGATGATGATGATCGTTTGCTTTGGTGTACTTTTGGCTGAATCCGGGATTTCATGGGATAACTTGCAAATTAATTTTACCACTTCAACTGATTTTTTCAACAATTTCAAAGTGTGATTTATTTTATCCGTATTTTGGAAAAAAAAGCCTACAAAGATTAGTCTCCTTCAAAAAATCTTCAAAAAATCTTTGTACCCCTTACTATGTCTTTATGACTTTTTTTTAATGTAAAACTCTTTACTGGAGCTTTTTGTAGAGTAACTCCTACCAGAGTCTGGTTGAAGGAAAGTACGCAAATGTGAATGTAACTTCACTCATCTTTTCCTTTTTTATTATCCAAGAAAAGCAACAGCACATATTGTCCCTTACTTAACGTGATCTCACGCCGTAATTGTGTAAAATAGGATGTGCAAACCGGACACTATATAGTACCAATGATTGTATAACTTGATCTAAGCCCAAACGAACTTGTAGATGCTGTGCGAGGTGGAGACGGCGATCCAGAACCTGGGGCTGAAGCTGCCCGTCACCCACAAGTCGATGCTAGTGACGGAGAGCTCGAACTGGGCGCGCGAGGGCGACCTCACCCTCATGCTGATCCAGGACTCGGGCGTGCTCCGGCTGTACCAGGCCTTTCTGAACGACTGGATCCGAGCGCTGCGCAACGCCACGGTCACGGGCCCGGGCACCTGCGACCCCGCGATGCTGCGGCCCCTGGCCAGCTACTTCAAGCCGAAAAAGCCGCAGCAGCAGAAAAAACAGACCAGCCCGAAAAAGAGCCCCAAGCGGCCCAAGGCCCGTCTGGCCGAGGCCAAGCAACAGCCGCTCGCCCAGAACGCCAGGAGGCTGGCCAAGAAGAAGATGCTGAGGAAGAGGCGGCGGCAGCAGCTCATGCGACAACAGAGGAAGGCCTTCTGAGCGCGTTTCTTTGTGTGGACTTTGCATTCGTTCGGGTTGCGAATTTCAATTGTACGCGCTGTGCGACCGACAAAAATTAGTTGTTTTCTCTCAATGGCGCGTGCCTATCACATGGAAGCTTTACTGTACGTCGGTACGCGAGACAAATGTTGCTACCTACCGTGTGTATAATGATTGACGTTTCGCGTATTACGTCGGACTTGCGTATCTTTTGTTAATTTATTTTGCGACAAAATTTTTAGTTATTAGATACGTCGAATCTAGCCGTGGATGATGATGCTATTGTGTTTTCGTTCAGCGCGTGTGGAAAGGAGAAAATGAAACGACAAAACTTTATACGTTATACATTTTAGACTTTGATATATGCAGTATTAAGTGGTCTACCTCGACGCGTTCGAGCAGATCAACTTCGAGTTAGGTATTTCATTGAAAGTGTGTACTACTTTCGTGCGTGGCTTCATTGTCAACTTGAATGGGGTCGCCGGACTGCTGAAACTGCCTCACGAGGGTTTCATCCATTTTTCACGCCGTTTTGCTGAAAATTAACTATTTTCATGTGTAGATTAACAAAGCAAAACTAAATCCTGTCGTACCAAAAATTTATGCCAATCGTACATTACTGACAAGTGGCAGGGTGTAATTTTAGGCTAAACGGGAGAATTTGTCATAAGGAGAAAAATCGGCGTGACCCCGTTGACAGTACTTTCGCGTTGATGCGTTTAAATTTTTTGTGTGGATCAGAAATTTGTACATAAAAAAAAGAACAAAGTTTAAGGAGTTGGAACTTTTTTTTTTTTTTTTTTTTTTTTTTTTTTAATTTTGCGACCAAAACTGCGCGATTTGTATCGTTCAAGTTGTAATAATTTATCAAATTTTTCGTCTCTCTAAAATGTGATTGTTCACAGTCACATATATAATAGCGTACGATGCATCGATCATCCCAATTTCGATCAAATTTTTTACTTAACGGAGTAGTACTACTCGAGCAGTTGATTGCAAACGAGTGAAGAATTTATCTTTAAGGTGGCTGTATCGCGATCTGCGGCATCGCGTTAAGCTTCGGATTTGAGCTGTGATATAAATTTTAATAAATATATATATATATATTATATATACATAACGAGCGTACGTGGACGTTGCTGAGTTCCTACGTTTTCTTTGTACGTTTTTTTTTTTTTTTGTTTTTTTTTTTTTTTTTGTATCTAAACTTATCATTAAATTAATTACAAAGTATGGTGTTTTTTTAATTTCATCAAATCGTCGAAGAACATTGTAAAAATCATATACAGCGCGATGTATTCGAGAAAATTACTTTCTTTGCGATTTAATTCGATGTTTTTCCAAATAGATTATCTTAATATATATGCTATGTACATTTGATCGGAGGAAACAAAACAAATTTTTTTAGCCTATGCTCGAATCTCCCCAAGAGCGTAAAACATGACACTTATCTCTTTGCGTGGATGCGAAACAAATTGTCGTATTATTTTTTATGTTTGTACTTTAAAATGATATTCAAAGAGATTTGGAGCTTTGAATGACAAGTAATGGCTATTAAAGTAACAAGGTTTGTAATACAATGTATTTTGTACCCCCCGTAATCTATATATAAAATATCCCTCGTGTGAAAATTTAAACGTTAATTACGATTTTTTTTTACGAAATCAGTGTATACTCGTTTTTCCTACACTATTTCTAGTATTCTAAGCTATGTACTTTATCTTCCTCCATCTTCTATCAACTATTAAGCATATATCATTATCACATACATGTAGATTATATATTGGGTATACACACACATAAACACACACACGCACACAAACATTACTCACGTAGCGACTTACGATTAATTATTTATTGTATATCACGTTACCATCTTCACCGTATGTTATACACACGAATGCGTACAAATAATATATATGTATATTACTTGTTATATCGTCTTTTTCCCTTGTACTGTCCGTAAAAATTACACGTGTAAACAAAAATCTGCTCTCCTTGGTGCTCAGCGTACCGCTAAATTTATTATTTTTTTTTTTTTGTACATGTTCCCCTACACTCTTTGTAAAAACCATAAATTATTTCTGCTTATAATAAAGCAATATATGAAAATCCACCAAAGATCCGTCTTTTCTTTTTTTTTTAAATAAATCGATTCACGGGCGCGTGCGCGAAATCGTCCAAATTTTTATCTCACCTGCCAATCCGAGTCGGGAATAATCAGTACTCACGGCGAACGTCTGCGCATCTCATCAGTTAACGCCAATGATGCAATGGATCGAGTAATTATGAAATACAACCTGTAAAACTTTTTTTTTGCTCTTTACACGGCAGTGCGCACGCGACGATCGGTAAAATTGATTAAAAAAATCTACAGGTCCGAACCTACACGGATACTCGAAAAAAAAAAAAAAAAAAAAAAAAAAAAAAAAAAAGAGAGTACGTGAATCCAACTCCAGAATTAGCTCAAAGAGCCGATGGACCTGCAGGTGGGCTATATCTGCGAATTCTGTTTGTTTATCCGGCAGCCCGCGGCATCCCGCAAGCGAGATCGTTTTATTTCTGAACTCGATGGTAGCGCTAGCTGGCCACTTGCCTATCTATCTATACGTATAGGTATGTATCGGCGATAAGGTGCACGTATACATACACGCGTCATACTTGCGTGTATTGGCGGCCACAGCCGAGTGACGAAATCTGCTTGTTGGTCCAATTATTGGGGCTCTCTCTCGAGGTGTACACGCGCAGTCGATAGGAATCATTGACTCCTGGAAAAAGTATGCATACATGAATCATCGTGAGAATTTCGTACAATAGTCAAGAAACGCTGTACAACTCGCCCACTGACCTCCCGATGTGGGACCGAATATATGACGGGTCGTTGACTCGACCGATCGGGCAAAGTCAATAATACCATATGATCCGATAACCCCCCCGAGATGCGCGCCAAACGTCGGAAGTACCGAGCTGCTGCACAAACATGTATATATACACCTCTCCTACATCAGCTGTCACTGAGCCACGCGAGTGTATATACACGCACGTCGGCCAAGCGGGAGGGCTCGACATTCCTCGCGCGAATACCAGGCTGGTATGAGCTGTCGCGCGACGCCACGCGACCTCCCTCCCTCCCCCGCCCCTGATGGTGTATCGCTCTTCAATCTTATCGATAAAGTGCATCGGGCATGCGCGCGCGTACCTTTTTGTAGAGGTGAATTTCATGGGACGCGTACCTATGCGCACGTTGCGCCGAACGAGGCTCAGTTTTTGCCACATTGCATAATTTGTACAAACCCGAGCTTATCGGAAATTCCGTGTCCGATACGCCCGCGTTATCGAGCATTTGCCCAGGGTCGTTTACACTCGACCGTGGACGTATGCGTGCGTGGAGAGTCGCCCAAAAATATATATGCGTACAGGTGTGTAACGACGGCTACATCGACTGGTAGGTCGGCGAAACGGTCCGCCGGGGTAACAGGAGCGCACGAAGGGCCATGGGTCGTTTGCCGCAGGTGCGCCGCCCTTTATCGATTCGCGAACCCTTTCTCCCTCCCTCCCCCGCCCTTTTCGAGTAGCCGATGCTGCCGGCGCGCTTTTGATATTCCGGATGATGATTCACTGGTAGCTAATAAAAACTCAGGCAACTTTTGCCCCCCGGCTTTTAAACAAATTCCGGGAGAATAATTGTCAGTGTTTGGGACTCGAGAGGGATTTTTGGCCTCTCCGGTGTATGGTTCGCGGGGGGGGGGGGTTGGTAGAAATTAGTTCAGCCATGAGGTATCATTAATGCGCTACCAGGGCAGGATGAGGTCACGCGTGAGCTGCAGTTGCGTACCTAATGATTTTCGGGTGGAAGCGAAAGCTCTGGAAGGCACTTTTTGCATACCGAGGGCAGCGTGAGAAGATTCGACGGCTCTTGTTGTCCCATGTGTGGGATACTTTCTCGGATTTGACTGCTAATAATAGCCTCGCCTTTCACGGGAAGCTCTCCTGCGCTTTTTTGCGCGTGCACCTAAACGCGTGGCGAACCGATCAATCGGCCGATTCGCACTGAACTGCATTTATAAATCGTTAAGTAGCAGTGCAAAGTGTAAAGTAGAAAATGAGAGAAATAAAAGATCATTCGCAACAACTTTGGTACATCGACTGATCGTTCGTGCCGGTGTCCGTGACTTTGAGTTTCAATTCCAGGGCAAACACAGATGTGCAACTTGCTCGACGTGCCTCGATCGCGGTTAGTATGTCTGTCGAGTAAGGGCGCGTTCTACTGATCTTCACCTTATACACTGTATGTAAGATACATCAGGTTAACTTGATTAGATTTTTTTTTTTTTTTTTTAAATTTACATTAAGTATCAAAGTGAATCGTGTGCAGTTAGAGATATCATAGCGGACGATAAAAGGCCAGCGCGAAACTAATACAGTTGTGTGATACACGTGGGCCGACCGCCGATATAAATCAGTAGAGATAGTCGAGTATAGTGGGACGGACACACTTTGGTACAGCCGAAGAACGAGCACGTGTGCCGTCAGATAAACTTGTGATTATCTTTATATTGTGCGGAAATTTTATCGAAAAAAAAAGATACACGAGTATGTGTCAATTGACCGAGGAATGTGTCGATCGGCTAATTGGATTGCTTTAAATAACCACCTCTCGTCGCGATGATTTTGCAAAATTATCACGGTCTGATTGTTGGGACAAAAAAAACAAACCCCAATTTTACACTTTGCATCAATCAAGAAGGAGTAAATTCCGATGTATAACTAATCGGTTCGTGGCCTTTTTTGAACAACTTCGAGAAGCGTCTCGGTGATTCAGTCGATGGAATTCCTGGCCGGCATACCGATGATCCAATCGGCGCGCCCAGCCCGAAAACGCGGGATGACAGGCCAACCTCGGCATGGCTTCGAGGAAGCACCAGCGTTGCTTTTCCAGAGCCGAAAAACACGGGAGGCGCGCTGGTGATATCCTGGAAAAGCGCGCCTGTGTGGCCAGAGCTTTTTACGAGCAGCGGCGTCACTCCGACAAATCCGGAGACCCGATCATCGGACCAGCGTAATCTGGCGCGCGCGCGCGCGTGTTGCGGATCGTAAAATGCTCTCTGACGCCCGGCTGGCCCGCAAAGTGCCGGTTCCGCGGAAATTTAAGGAGCCCGTCCTGTGTTACAGTGACATGGTTTGTTATGGGTCACTCGGGCGCTTCTCCTCCCCCGGAAACCTTGGGCAGGCGTTACGCAATGTTTTCTTTCCTCTTATCTTGTCTGATCCGATTTTTGCCTCTCTTTTTCCCCCCTCCCCGATTTTTGTTAATGAAATGTCGATCGATTGTATCGACAGATTATAGGGTATGGAAATGCAAATCAGTGAATATAACGAGCGAGTCAACTTTTTTGCTCTATAGGGCGTGCATCGTGGATTACGAAATATGTGTTTTATGAACATGAATTAAAAAATTCGTCTGGGATTCACAAGCTTTGTTTGTGACCTTGTAGATACGGAGGCTCTACAAGCAAGTGATTTTTCTCACTCAACTTTACTCTATTAAATTTTATATGTAATAAAATAAATAAATACTTGTTTTTTGCCATTTCTCTTCAATTTTTCAGTACATTTTAAAGATTATAGAACATGAAGTACTCGTTTTTAGCCTAAAATCTCTCTCACACCCCAAATCCTAATACCATGGATGATTGGGTCTTTGTTTTTCCAAAGTAAATCTTAGTCGAAAGTGCGTATCATTAGTAATATTTTTATCCGTGAGCACAGAGAGAAAAACCCGTCGGCACCACCAAAGTTTACCCAGCGCAACTCGATTTGCATGTACGTACATGGAACTACGTTGAATTACACCGCGAGCAATAAAAGTCCCCGGATCGGTAACAGCTAGTTACCTAAGCCAGAGTCCAAGTCAATTCTCGCAATCCATCGTAATCCCTAAAAAAAGAATAAGCAAAGAAAAAGTCCAAAAAAATTACACCTTTTTCGCGAGGCAGCCACGGTGCAGTAGAGCGATGACGCGCCGGTCGATGACGAGACAGGTGTGTAATATCAACGCCTATAGAGCTCGATCTTCCTCCTCCCCCACCCGCTTCCCATCGCCTTATCAGTCGATGGTCGGCGTATGGTCGCGCGCGTGACGTAAATCGCATGGACGTTGCGCTCTCGGCAAATACCGATTTTTCTCTCGATTCATTCATACGCGCGCTCGATTGTTTACTCTCTCGCTGACTATTTCATGTCACAGCGTTTCGCGTTATCTGTCCACTCTATCCTCGCAATTTAAAAAAAAAAAAAAAAAAAAAAAAAAAAGTGAGCCGGTTGCATGGACCCGATCATCTCCAGATCGTTTGCCAATCGCACCCAACAGATCAGTCTGGCCCCGGGTATAGCGGTGATTTTTCGTCCGATAATCATCGCTTTATCATTGGCATGTCAATTGAACGGCTTCTTATCGAATTCCAGCTCTCGAGACGCGAGACTCGCCGGTGCAGAAAGAAATCAAAGCCTTTGCACGATCAGAGACGTAAGTACACCAGCAGTGGCCGGCCGCGAATCTACGGAGGAGCCGCGTAAGGAGGGGGTGGGCGCGAGAGAGACGTATAGCGCTAACGTGTATGTACGTCGAACTTACGCGCGCGTGAATCCGATTGTTTACACTATCGCATATATAAAGGGGCGAGCCGCGGGGTTTGACAAACTCAGTTCTCAGGCTCGCGGCCACCCGACAGCAGGTGCCTCTCGTCGCTTCCCCCCTTTTACGAGCACGTGTTTTGGTTTTTGTCGACGCATACCTCGATTGCCGATCTCGGAGCCATGGCTTGTCAACCGAGGAGGAACAAAAGTGCCCCGGTCCTGCCGACGCTGGTGGTTGTCGTGGCTGTCGTGGTGTCGCGCGCGATCGGCGCCCCATCGAGCACGAAGAAACCGGTTGAGTTGAAGCCGCCGAAATCGGTTGTGCCATACTGGCACATGCCCTGCGGCGCGAGCAATGAGGTCGCCGAGCCCGTGGATCCCAGGAACCCCGAGGAAGAGATCAGCGAGAGCTTGAGGAGCTTGCGCATCCAGCACGAGCTCATGATGACCGACTACCTCAGCCGGGACTACGAGTTTCTCTACGAGAGGGTCAGGATCGGCGTCCACGAGCACCAGTACATACCGAACTGGCTGCCCGGCAAAAAGGACGTCCACCTCGTCAAGCGGCTCAGGCACGGCAAACCACAGCTGGTGAGTCCTTTGATTCGTTTTTTTTTTTTTGTTTTTGTTTTATTTTTTTTTTAACTGTAAATCGGTAAGAAAAGCCAATGAACCAGAAAAAAAAAATTTTTTTCGCATTCGCCCGATGTGTCGTAAGCGCCGGATATCGATCGAGATAGTATAGCGAATAATCGACGACTTTGGCAGGCTCTTCGTATCTGAAAAACTTAATCGCGGCGAGCGCTCCTCTTGATTTATTAAACCTTAAAGTCTTTGAGCTCGAGTCCCGCTGCTACTGTCATCGGATGTTTTGTTATGCACACACGACACACGCGTTTCATTGACCTCGTCGCGAGCGACACAATTCATACGAAGCGCCTTTCGCAATCCGTGAAACCGATCGGTCCCAATTAAGAGATTAGCCGATTACTCGCGGTGTAGAGCTATTGTTTCGACAGTGGCTCACACTTGGAAATTGTAATATGTACTACCCACTCGGGCCGGTGGGCAAGTGTTTGCTTTGATTCGGCAAACAAAGTTGATGATGATTCGCATCGACTTTCACGTGTCTGCTCCTCCTCCTCCTCCTCCCCGTGATACGTAAGTACACCTTCTCTCTTCCTCTGACGCTGGGCTCCTTAATCGAGCATTTTTCAAATGCCTCGGCTGTAATTCTTATTTTTAGCCCATTGTGATCGCGCTCCTCTAATTACCGAGATGAGCCCCCCCTGCTCTCTGCTATACTTGAACGCCGGGGTTTCTATTTTTCGCGAATTTTTCAATGCTGACGGGCTCCTTTATTTTTGACACTTGCCCCTACATGTATATGTATCCATTTAGGCGCCGAATCGTTTGAAACCACACCTGCGATATATTGGCAAATGTTGTGAAAATAATCGTCAATCGCCAATTGTGCGTTTGCAAAAAGGGTTTTTTTTTTTCCTTCTAAAATCGTTATCAACAATTTCCTGTTTTGTAGAGCACCAGTTGCCCACGGTACGAGCGTGTAGTTCCCCTCGTGCAACGTGACGCACAATTGGCAAAGGAGATCAGATAAGAGGCGAGTTATTTCATCCGCGCGCGAAATAGACAGGTGAGCTAGAATTAGCGTCGCACGCGCGAGCCACGCGTTCCGATGCACTGCGTCATTATCCTCCGCGGATTATCTCCCGCGCGCACTTGAACTTCCGTCTGCTTATCTGTGTACACACGATACTCGATTCATCGACGTTTCCACGCGTGACTCGGCAACCAAAAATTTGTCGCGGACAAGTCTCGAAGACCAACGCATCCGGAGAATCTCACTGGATCGAGCCTTCCGCGAAGGAAGGGAAAAATGTTCTCGGAGGAAAACAAACCGGAGGGGGAGGGGGGGGGGAAACCATTCCCGAATTTCCGAGTACGGAGGGATATCGAGCAGCGACGCGCGCTGGACGTTTCTCCCGAAAGGAAACAGAGAGCCGCGCCAAACGAGGCCACCCCGTCCAAATACACACTCGCCGAGTGTCAAGGCCAAACGAGCCCGCTCTTGACTCTCTCAACGTAAACACTGCAACTTGAGGATCCCCCCCTTGGCACAATTATCCCGAGCTTTCCCAACCACACTTTGCCGCGTACAACACCGTGGGCCATCGGAAGGGGGAGCGCGACAGGCTTTGTTTTTCCAGGGAGGGGTGGGGGGGGATGCTCGCCCAGCCCCGTCCTGTTTTTCCCCAAATAGGGGGGGCTCAATTGATTAACGTTAAATAACAAATTTTAATGAGACGGTAATTATTATAAAGTACCAGGCGAGCAGGAGCTGGACGCTGCGCGCGCGCGCGCGCAAGGAGGAGAGACAGTGTAGTACGGGATGCGCCGCGATTTGCTCATGCTAGCCGGGTCGGGAGGCTGCGTAATCGCACGAGCCTCGGTGCACTCGATACACCTGTACACGCCGTGTAACATCGACCCGTACACCCGTGCATTGTTTGATACAGCCGAAGGGGTGCCAACGAGTTTTCAAAGTTTTGCCATATCCCCGCGACTGTAGACTCAGGGGTGGTTTTTACTTTCTCCCCCTTCGGAGTTGTCGCGCGGTGGTAAAAGTTTCATCGAGGTGGTAGCTACATTTTTTTTTTCTTTCTCAATCGCGCACTTGAATTCGGAAAATTGCGCGGATGAGAGATTTATTGGCTCAATAAATAACGGGGGAGCGCGCGGTTATCGATGAGCGCCCGTAAATTGCCGGCTGAAGTTGATTCAATAAAATTGAGAAGCGGCAAAGCATAGATAATACCGGGCACTCGAAAAGGAGAAGTGGGTAGCCGGTAATCTGTCCCGCGCGATCAACAAGCTCGTAAATCTCACGATGCCCGTGTTGCAGATCGCCAGCCACTTGCCAAAGCTCCACTCGGACCTGCAAAAGTTTGCCGTGGCACTGGAGGAGATGGTGGAGGACGAGACGTACACGGAGAGGATACAGAACGCGCTCTACACGACGCAGTCGTACCTGAAGATGATGATCTGCGAGGTGGAGAGCAGCATATACTCGCTGCCCGCGCTCAGTGTGCCCAGTAGGATCGACAGGGGCATCATGAGCGAGGCGGAGAGGGACCCGGTCGACGACACGAGGAGGCTTATACGCGACTGGGGGGTTTTGCTCAAGTACAAGGACTACTTGCACGCATGGAGACACGTGTTTGACTACTAGACGATTAACTCACGGTTGGCCGTTAATTAGTCAATTTTGTACGTTTTTTTTTTTTTTTTTCGTGATTGCAGAATGTCGAGCTTAGTCAAATTACGATGTTAAGTGTAAATAGGTAGAAATGAATTTAGTTTTATCGAATGGAGCGAGTGCGTGAGTCTATTCTTCCATTTATGGTGCCATCCTGGAACTTTTTAATAAAAAAGTCAAACTATGTAAATATATCTATACGGCCGTTCGACGGGGAGGCTATAAAAAAAATGATAAAAAATTTAAGGTTTCAAAAATCTCTATATTTATAGCGTAGATATGCAGGTAACACGTAATAATTCGTGAGAGCGATGACTTGCGTTTCAGTTGAAAGTAAGCGATGACAGCGATGCTGATTGTGTCGAAGATCGGTGTAATGTCATCCCAATGAACTTCGCGTGTATGTATATATAGCATGAGGTGTAAATAGCTTCGGTCAACAAACTGCGCTAGACAAGATCAAGTATATGCCGCATCCTCGCATTATCTAGAATTCTGGAAATACCATGCGTCCTGATGTAGCGGCTAGATCAAGCAATTTTACTATATTATTTTCGCTCAAGTAATTAAATTCGTGATTCTTTTGCTCGTTGATCGATTGATCGGTCGATATTTGTGATTATCGAATTTCACTTTTACGTAATTCACTTACTTAAAAGATATACGTAGAGAAATAGTATTTACATTGCGACATGGATATTTTTACAGAGTCACCTTAGTTAGTAATATTTATTTGTAGCTGTAAGATAAACTTTGATAATTAATTTTTTGCTGACTAACAGATGTAGCTGACATAATGAGACAGGAAGTTGTATAATATACTTTAATTTGCATGTTTTATAATTTGCTTAACAACTTCGCTCATGAAAAAAAAAATAAAAAGTCAGCTATATCTGTACTGTTGTTCAAAGAAATTTTACTAATGTGACATGTACATACCTATTTGCGCTGCTTGCGTGCAACGCACAGTATTATAGATATGTAATGAAAGTACATTTAACTATGCATACGAACACTTGTTCCTGTCTATATTAAATTATTTATTTAAAAACTAGTCTAAGAAGTTTGTTAAGTTTTATACATTTCTAAAATAAAATCAAACTTTAAATATAAATTATGTTGTACTTATTATTGTATACACCCCGATTATCTACTGTGAGCTTGAAAATTTTCATATCCTTCAGACTCTGTATTGAAAATATCAAACTAAAACTTGTCGTTTTTATCCATTGTAAATGATATTTTCAGTTGATGTTATCTTGAAAAATGTGTCCGCATTTGTACTATCCTGAAATACCAGCTGTTAGTCAAAGCAGCAATTTAACTTATCGACTAATGCTCCATCTCACCCACCTACTGGACAATTTTTACAGAGAGCAGCACGTGCAATCTTACTAAGAGTAAAAAAAATTTACTCACATATATAAATTGATCAATTAATATAAATAAGTGCGGAAAAGCTACAGGTATGTATTTAGGAACACGATGAAGAGGAAAATACTTAATTAAATAAAATCACCATATGTTTGTTTACTTTGATTTTTATAAAATTAACTTATTTTGAAAAAAGGATCATAAAATAATTAACTTTTCATACTTGGTATTTTTCATTCTATCTTACAATAACTTATTTACAGACTTTACAGACAAAAAATTATTTTAAAAACCTATATCGTTGTCGCTACGTATTAATGATAGAAAACTAATCGTAACAGTTCGACGTTGTTGTATCACATAAATATTATTTTTTCGTTTTCCATCTATAATAGCTTATTCCTCCCGCGAAAAGAAAAAAGTAATTATTGAAAGTATCCTAAGTGTCAAATTATCCTTTTCGCTGATGATCTTCAAGACGAAAGGAAGGTGCTGTATTAAGTTACTTTTACATTTTTTTTTATACTCATTAATAGTTGAAGTATCATTAATTACAATAAGTAAATTTTAATTATTAATATCGATAATATAAGACACGTGAAACTGCTTTTCTCCTAATTTCAACTTTAATTTAATGTATTGTATTTACTGTTCCTCCCTTTTTTATTCAATATCTCTCATGCTCGTGGAGGTTTCCGAGAAATAGGCAACATCTAATATTTTCAGTACAAAATTTAACAAAATGTGCTGTCGTTTCCATTATCAAATCACATGATAAATCCAAAAATATGATACCCAGCCTTAAGATGATATGTGTGCTTCGAGATGTTGACATGATCTAGCTTAGCTACAAACTTGAGAGAAAATGTTTATTCCGTCTTGTTTCAATTGAATAAAAAATTAAACTGATTTTTAGTTGAAAATATTAGTTTTAATACCATCGAACCATAAAATTGTAAAACCGTGAGAGTTTGAAAAGCCTCGTATCAAAATAATATTAATAATAATAGTGTATTCGCTAGAAAAATTTCACTGCTCAAAGCTTCGAGGAAGCCATCGGTAGCCGAGAAAACCTACCCACGATCGTATTTTCGCGTAGCCATTTATCAGTGGCAAGAGATCGGACGACGACTCGGAGGCGAGAAAAATTTGTCGCCCACATTCTCCTCTCGAGTCGTCAGCTACTGTGTGTCTGGTACTGCTGCAGTTGGGGTTTGCCAACCAGGAAATTAAAGTTCGCGGCGAAAAAGATCCACGAGACGATACTCCAGAATTACGATTGTGCAATTGGTGGGTGTGCACACGTAACGCTTACCAATGGCTATATATAACTATCGCCTCTGCTGCTGCTTGAGATGTAATTTGCCGTGTACCATCATTAAAGTAGGAGGAGGAGGCTCACTTTTTCCGCGCCGCTATATTGTTTACCTCGTGGATATTGGGCTGGAAACCATTCCCTCTCGCGGAAGATACCTCGAGAGAGTAATTTTCAGCGATGAAGAGAGTCAGTCCATCTCCGTATAAATTTGATGTAACCGACGTGTCAATCACCACTAGAGGCTAAACTACCCACGAGGAAATATTGCCGGAGAAACCAAGTTCATAAAATCACGTAAAAGCGTATACACCGTTCATTAGTACAGTTCGTGGCTCAGTCGCTTATCATTTTCCACTTTTTAGCGCATTGGTTCCCCGCAGAGCCGGACAAGCCGGCAAAAAGACGCGCCCGGGGTGGCAGTAGCTCCAACAGATCACGTCATTACGAGTCGACCGATGCGATGTCGTTGGATATTATCTCGTTAATTCGCTAGACAGTGCCCTACGAGTTTTATGACCTGTACGATTCACTCCCCCCTCCCTTCCGACGATATAGTCGAGCTGGATTTCCGCGAGCCCCGAGCCGTGCTCAATCCTCCCGAGATCGGCCGTTATTGCTCGTTGCGAGTTTTTTCTTTTTTTTTTTTTTCTCTCACATGGGCGTGGTACTTTTTGCGCCTCGTCGACTTACCTGTGTATTATACGCGGCCGAGATTGCCTGTTCCTACACACGTTGCGAATAATTACGAATTAATTTTGTGCCCCGTTTATGCGACGGTTAATGAATTTGTTGGGGACTCCACTGACGAATGTGGCATTTGATTTATGGGGAGGGAGTTTGACTGCTCGAATGGCTTAATTAGCCGATGTATGAAAGTATTCGAAAATTCGTGGATAACATCGGGAATAAAGACAAAGTCGACAAAGAAGAGAAGTTGGTCGAAGTAATGGTGTACGAGTGAATTAATTTTAAATCGATGGTCTCTCGCTCGCCTCCCTACGTTACATAAAGATTAGATATAATGTTTTGCTTCTTATGTCGATTCAACAAAGTTTATCGTGAATCGCATATTCTTTTCGCGAAAGTAATCTCTTTCTGAAGATAGCTTTGCACCATGTCTTACATAAAACTCAAATGAAAGTTGAGCCATTGAAACTGCTCATATTATTACAAGAGAAACAAAATCAAATGTGTAATGATAAAGGCAAGCTAGCGATCGTCAATCTATACGACAATCCATTGCTGCCGTATTGCGCAGCTCGTGTTTCTCACACATTGTGATTAATAATTACTTTTTGTTGAATAAATTTTACGTAAATGCGATAAAAACACGTATAACTCGCATTTATAAGACAACGATAGCGTACTAGTTGAAGGTGAAACGTGTACGTAAAGTCACATGTGATTGAGAAATCATGATCTTCTTCTTCTTGGAAGTAAAAAAAAAAAAAAACTTTGCTCCTCTTGCATTTTACTCAAGCTGCACGCTTTCGCAAGAGCATCGTATTTATTTTAATTTCACTCGATGGAAAACATAATCCTCGAGCTTCCAAGCCAACCCTCGCACGTAGGTATACCGGGAGCCTTCTTTTTCATCAATCAGCAGGCAAGTCTCGGTTTAATTGCCAACGAAAAGTAAATACTCAGCGCCTGCTTGAATAATTGGCGATGCTTCGCGAGCTAACAAATATAAGCTGCACCGGGGAATATAATATAATCCCAGAGAGAGAGAGAGAGAGGTGCTCTTCTCGCGGAGGTTCGATTAGGATATACATGCGGCAATCGCTCCGGCACCAGCAAGGTCTTCGCTCCCTCTGCACATATACATACACGAGTACACGTGCATACAATCGCTACACCATAGGTATACACTCCGCTTCTCCTGTCCTTTCTCACGTGTGTTTACACGTTCACCTCTCGGCTCTTTTTTTCGACGTCCCATTGTGAACCGCGAAGGTGAAGCGTATATACGCGGCGAGGAAGTCTTTGACACGTAGTATATGCTTCGCTATTTATATATGGATCAAGAGCACAAGGGGCGCATAATGGGGTCAATGTGGCACGAGGTCGGAGCTCTTTGTGGTCCAACGAGAATTTAACGACTGTACCTATCTGCTCTGGAGAGAAAAAAAAAAGTTTTTAATCGTTTGGTCCGTCCAGTGTTTTGATTGATGTGTTCGGGGGAGTATACTAGCATCCTTCTAATGGCTCTCGATCATTTCGTGCCATTTCGCTGCGAAGGACACTTTTGAGGTTGACGTATTCATCGATCACGCACGAA